TCTCTCTCCCTGTACCTTTCTGCAGGTTGCCCTGGCCCTGGAGCTCTACGTCTCTGACGAGCAGTCACCAGCCACATCGACCTGATCAGTGTTTGTTTGTTTTGTCTCTCCTCTATCCACTCACTCCAACTGGTCGAGGAAGAAGGCCGCCCACCAAGAGCCGGGGTCTGTCGGAGGTTTCTTCCGTTAACGGGAGTTTTTCCTCCCCACTGTCGCCAAGTGCTGCTCAAGGGGGATTTGTTGGGTTTTCCCTATGTAATAATATTGATAACAGTAAGGTCTAGACCTTACTTTGTAAAGTGTCCTGAGATGACTTTTGTTGTGATTTGGCACTATACAAATAAAATTTGATTTGATTTTGATTTGATATGAACCAAGTCATTAAATTGTTTTAAAAGACCCTTACAATTTTTCCTTTGATTTTTTTTTTTAGTTTAGGACACATTTTGTGTTGTTCTGGATCTCATTTTTCACAAGGGACCCATTTGTGTGAGTGAATGCTGTGCCTTGGCGGAGGTACAGTACATGCTGAGTGCGCTTGTTTTAAATTTATCTCACATTTAACCTTAGTCTCCTACTTGACTTTGCGCTTCAGAACTAGATACTGGAGGACGTTACTGTTAACCCTAGTTTTGTTCAGGGGAACAAAAGCCTTGATCTTGTACTTCATTTTATCTTCTCACTCTTACTTGTGGTCACCTCAAGGTTAATGGCTGTCATGCCATCTCTAGGTGATCGTAATGATTACATCTTTGCTCCCAGCACAGAAATCAGCTAGGAACATCACCACTTTCCCAGGCTTCATGAACTTACCAATTTCACTCCAGTGGTTAACACTGGTTTGTTTTAAATAAGACCAAATAGCACATCACACAGCCTAAATCTTAAAGCTTCATTTGCAAATAACATTTACTTCAGGGAAGCTCCATTCAAATCGAGCTGGGAGCCAATGATTGTCCACACCAGTAAATGTCTTGTCCACTGGCCAACTCAGAAAGTTAATGCATTACCTGTCCAAAAGAGCTGAGAGGAAATGAAGATCTGAAGATGGTTAGGTCCAGGCCACCATTTCCCCATTGTCGACTGCATAGTGTGCTTTTTGACATTTTTTACCAATGAAAAAAAAAATTCTTGGATTTTGAAATTTAAAATAGAAATAGGGTCTATATGTAACAGACAATGGCAGAAAAAGATCAATGCTGCAGCAAAAAGAGAACACCCTTACAAGTGGTATTCTCCTTTTCTGTCTTCCTTCCTCTTTGTTTTTCGATGCTGCTGCTCTTTTGCTGTGCTGGGCCATCACTCATCACTCAGATGTCTGACCCTCAGTTTCCTTTTACTCTTTTTCTCATCACATTGTTTCTTCGCATCTCATCCCACTTTTTCTCCTTTCTCATCTTATCTCTCTCCCTCCTCACCCAATCTGTTCATCACCAAATGTTTTTCAGTTTGAGTGGCGTGCCTCTTGTCGCCGTGGCGATGCTGAGACGTCACGGAGGGAAGGTGCAATGGAGGGCCGAAGGGACAGATGCACTGAGCAGAAGATAGTGGAAGAGCGATGGAGAGACATCTGATGTTCTCTTGCTGGGGCAGCCATGAGTGTAGTTACAATCTGTAAACACACACACAAACACACATGCACAGTTGGGAAATGAGTTCAGGGGAAATCTGTACACTCTCAAACAGAGAAAATTAACACAAAAGGAAATTGGTTTCGGCTTTCTCTGCAAATGTGATGGTGTATCCCTTGATAAATGATATATAAACAATATGTGTAATTTATTTAAAAAAAAACAGCAAGAGACTCTGTTGTTTATAACCATATGACAAACTGGCGACTGGTGCTGACAGCCTCCTGTTTTGCCTCCTGGACAAAGTCTGGACATGATTCGGCGATCTGGAGTTCATGTGTGAAAACGGCTCATCTCACAATGTTGCACTCACTCACAGCTGAGAGCGGCTGCTCAGTAGCCTTCAACCACAGCCTCCAATGTCTGGCACCAAACAGACTGACTGATGCATGCTGTCCTGCCTAAAGAACCACTCCAGTGATTTCCAACCTGATCTCTACAGTGTACATGTCACAGAGAGATTCTTTAATGCACTTGTACACTTGGAAGGAGTCTGTAGGAAGGCTGTGTTCAATTCCCCAGATCCTGCACAGGATGATACAGTCTTGGGCTAATAGGCAGCATGAAATCTTTTTCTTCAAAGTTTAACTCTTACTAATGTGCATACCTTAGAAACAGAGTCAGAGTTCCCCTGCTGACTAACCTGTGCTCCACCAACTGAGGATTTAATCAATGTCCTGCAGAAGTCAGTCACATGTAAAGCCTTTGTAGTCAAGTACCACACACATAGACCAACTGCTGGCTTTTCATGTCCAGAGCACCTTTAACTGTCATTTCTTCACGTTTCCTAAAATTGCTGTTGCTGTGCTTGATAGCTAAGGAACATTTTATGAACTCTTCCTCAAAAACATACTGAAAATGCATAATGTCATGTATATTTCAGACATGCCCAGTTTGTTTTATTTATTCAGCTTTATTCATTGGAAATGCTTCATATTATAGCTCCAAGTGAAATCATCTTTAGGAAGCTTTCAATTTCAATAAGCACAGCAACACCTGCCTGTGTTTGTGGACACTATTAAGTCACTTTATCTGGATGAAACAACAGAATATTATTTGTGTTAGACTGCAAAAGTTGGGTTCAGAAAAACTATGGAAAGAAAGGTGATATATTTCTCAAGCATCTGTACAAAGGCAATCTATTCAAATTAAACAAGCAGGTCGGAGGGGCTCTCCCAACTGTTGTCTGATTAATGCCCCATCTAGTATCTGAACCTGTGTGTACAGGGACACATTCATTCTGTCTGGGAGGTCATTTGGTAATAGAGTGCTGAGTAGCCTTCTCTCTGCCCCTGACTGTAAGGCTGCCTTCTCCTTACTCTCTGTCTCTCTGCTCTGCACCCCTGACTGAGGAACTCCATAAAAAGTGATGGATGTTGGTGTAAACACACAGAGTGGTGATTATGGATCAAAAGGAAGGACAGAGACAGACTTATAGAAACTGAGAGAGAGACGATTGCAGACCCTGAACGGTTAATGACAGCTCCATGTTTTTGAACATGGAGCTGTTGCACCACAGAGTGGTGAAATGCTTAACTACGCACCACCAAACTAAGTGCAAAACGGATGGAACTGTTCAGACTAAATACTGAACTAAAACATTTTTAGTAAAAATAAGTAATGATCTATACATGATAAAACAATGCTACACTCTATCAGTTTATAATGGCTTTTTCAAAATGTCCATCTTTAGTAAGATTGGTTTGACTCTTCAGCAGAACATATGATCACTCTACATTTAGCTTGTTAAAAAGGACAGTGTCTGTGATCATCATGGGATGCTGAAATATTTTGTTACCTACAATTTAAAACACAACAACTTCAAATAAAATATGAAAAGACATGGTTTAGAAAGAAATAGAACTGGTTGCACCCCAGGTCATATTAAACAATAAAAAGAAATCCTGAATAGTGATTTAACCAATCCGTAGGGGTAAAATTTCACATCTGAGTGTTTGCGATATCAAAAAGCCTGGTCACCTTTAGTCTGGGACCCAAGAAACAGTAAGAAGAACCTGCCCTGTCTGGCAAACAGGGGCCCAGAAATTCTACAATTTAGCTAATGTATGTGGCTCAGATTCCCTGAGGGAAAGGGAGTGAGTATCACTGGTATGGAATAGGCAGAAGCCTTTTAATCACATCTGACAAGTAAATGGGTGTGGAATGCATGAGGGAGAAGTTCTGACCTTCTCTTGGCCATATATTTAGAATGGTGCCATTTGTTTGTTACATTTCTAACTTCAAATGTGGGCTCAAACACACAGAATGAGTGTTTCCTTATTTTGGAGGCTTGATTCTAACATTGATCTTCTTCTTTCATGCAGTGTTTTGGTTAGAGTTTCAGTCATTACAATGGATTAAGTCCTTAAAATAAAACACATGAAACAAATGCTAAACTGTATGATAAATGACCACATCTAATCCCATTAACAAGAAGTACTCAGATCCTTTAAGCACCAGTACAAAGATAACAAAATACTCAATTGCAAATAAATATTATGCATTCCAAATGCTACTTAAATAAAAGTACATAAGCATTGTCAGCTAGTTATCAAAGTAAAACAACTGGCTCTACAGAATAATGCCCCCTTTAGGCTTATTCATATTACCAATGTGTAAGCAGCGTTTTAATATTGTGACGATCCACGTCAGCCATTGGGGGGTCTGGTGGCAGCTGCATGATGCAGAGGTGCATCATGGGAATTCAGTAAATAGTAGAGAGAGCAGTTATAAAATTATAGTTAAAGTGTTCTTATGTGTTACCCCATTGTTGTTATGTGTTAGTGTTGCTGACTTATGCTGGTGTGTTATCTGATTATGTTTTACTAAGTTAATTGCTGTGCTGTGTTTTGGACCATCAGTTTGGCTTGTATGTGTGAGACTGACCCTGGGGGAAGTGCCATTGTTCAGCAGTTGGTTGAGCCTCTGGAGCAAGCTCAACCTGCCAGTAGCCACTCCATAGGTCCAAAGAGCTGAACCACTGGGATCTAGCGACATGGTCCAGTGTTTTGGAGCTGTGTTCTCCCAAGTTGGGGAGGCTGGGGAGCGAGTGGTGGCCTATTACAGTTGCAGCCTCAACTGACCTGAGCGCAACTATTGTGTCACCCGAAGAGATGGTTCCAGCCCTATCTCCTTAGGAGCAAATTCACACTTCAGACAGATCATGCATCACTCACTTGGCTGCTGAACTTCAAGCAACCTGAGGGCCAGGTAACCAGGTGGCTGGAAATACTGCAGGAATATGACTTTGTGGCCCAACATCGTCCTGGGCATCAGCACACTAATGCTGATGCTCTTTCCAGGTGTCCCTGCATGGCAGAGGCATGTTGCTACTGCCACCGACAGGAGGGGTGAGACCAGGGACCACCAATGGCAGCAGCGGCATGTTCGGTGGATGCTGTGAGGGAGACAGAGCCATTCAGTATGGAGCAGCTGAAGCAACACCAGGGAGCAGACCTGGCTCTGGTGGAAGTGAGGC